CGATTTTTATTATTGAATGTTTGAAATATAAAATTCAAATACTTGCATATCGAGAAGAATTTAATATTTCTCTAATCCTGTTAAAAACCATTTATTTTACTAATGATTTAATGACACACACATTATTTTTATTTGATCGTTGTTGTCAAGTAATAATGCTGAATAGAAAAGTAAGAACAACAGAAATGATGATTGTTCTTTCCTTTAACCAGTTTTTATAGGTAAGAAAAAAGCTTTTTAATTAGATATAAAGACACTACATCATCGGTAATTCATAATGCTTAGTACAGAATTCTTTCCTATCAATAAAAAATTTAATTTTTGTTCTATTTGTTGATTCCAATAGAATGAATTGAATTTATGCATAACTAATTTTAATTTCGATACTCAATGATTCTACTATTCTATCGGACGTTTTGTATCGTTATGAATATATAAAAGAAATTTGCTTAGAAAAAAATTCATGAAGACTAAAGTATCTTGCAACTCAAAATATCCTTCAATTTTATACATTTATTTTGTTCTTCGATACTATTTATTGATAGAAGGTTATGTTTAACTGTCCTCTAAGAATACATTTGTAACAAATAACAAAATTTTTTTATATGTGAAGGCGCCATGACATTTATCAAACATTAAACAAAAAACGACCTATTAAGTAAAATTAAGAGTTTCTTATTGATTGAAAACTTGAATTTTTTACAATTCATTTTAATTTACAGTAATTGACGTCAGTTTTTTAATGTATTTTATCGTAGATTACTTTTTATAAATAGTTCTTTCAGTCATACATCAATGTGAAAACCGTAATCAGTCATAATAAATAAAATTTTTTTCATCGGTTTTCTTCTTCATGAGTACGAAAGCACGTTTTCTATGCGTAAGCAATCATTTAATACAGATATGCTATACTGCTCTATTGAATTTATGACGTCATTTTGTCATTTCCAATTATCAATTTTCATAGTAAATAAGTCTCTAGAGATCACACTATTTTCTTATACGTATATATATAGGATAATTATTTTCCATGTGTACTTTATAATATCTCTATAAAATAATCTTCTCAAAAGAAAAAAAAAATAGGATGAATAAGTGTGGTATTCATCAAAATTTATGGTAAGGATCCAGATATTTAATAGAGTAATATTGAAAAAAATACATTTAATACTTAATACTCTCTGTCTTCGACACCAAAGAATAGTTTAATCAATGTTAGAAGTATTTCATGCAGCCCTGTTCATAAGTTTGTTACTTGTTGTCGAAAATAGTGCAATACAAAAATTTGTCGAATTGTGCGTATGATGTATGAACTGTTTACATAAATGTATTCCAATCGTTTGTGATCTTGGCAACGAGACACTGTGACTTTTTTAATATTTCGAGCGATTCATTAGTATAAATCAAGGACCAAGTCTGAAACATGATAAGCATTGGTGAAAAAAAATAAAACTTATATGCCTAGATCTAAATAAGGATTTGTAGAAAACCGATTACTATACAACATGCATCAGGTTCTAATTGTCATCTTTTGTGATCTGACAAAATAGTAAATAAAAGAATCATGAAAAAATTTCCTTTTTAAATATCTCAGAAAAAAGTATATCAATTTTACCAGTAAATGCACTCTTTATCCTTCTGACAGATTGTCCTAGTGTTATGAATGCCAACCTTTATACACATTTCTATACATTGATGGTTATTTTATACGATATTTAGATTGTAAATTAATGCAACTCTGAATATATACGAAAATATTATACACCTTGTTAAGGATGAAGTAATGACATCAATATATATCGCCTTATGTTGTATGTCACAAGTTTTTTTATCTTTCGACTTTTTCTTCAGTTTTATGAGAGGTATTTTAGTCTATATTCAAATGTGTATAGTAACAATTTACATTCAAGAAGCATTATTTGAGAAATATATTTCCCAGATGATCTTTCAGTATTGAGTTAGCTTCGTATCAAACTAGAAATTTACAGAGTTTTTAATTAATTATTTTTTGGTCCTAAACTTCACAGAACCTCTATTTCTCGAATATAGATAAGGTGATATGTTATTAAAAACCAGAAATAAATGTAAGGAAAGTTGCCCATGGATCCAAGTATCTCTTGCTAACATGCGCACCTGCGCTTGTAATGATTTTCAATAAGCTGCGATGGATGCAGAACTCAATTTTCTATTGCAGCTCTTCCAGAGCGCTATGCACTCTCACTCTGTGAAGTAGATATCAAATGTAAATTATGCTTGCAAAGGTTTTTTTAATTCTTGAGTAATAGAATTCAACTTTCAAGTTTGACATGTATGACAGAGCTAAATATACAGAAACACACACCCTAGGTCAATATAGTCTACAAATCATGCAGACTTCAGACAATTTTGAAATACTTCATGTAAACGCGATGGAGACCTATGATATACTCCATATATAATTGATAACAAATTGTGAGATATTTGTGACGATTTTTGATAGAAGGGATGTTAACGTTGATGATATTACACTTTATTATATTCTTTCATATTATATAATCGCATCGTTTACCTACATAGCACACGCTTATCTACGCAAGTAGAAGAAGAGAGGATGAAAAGAGAGAAGATAAGTCCAATGAGAGAGCTGATATAGGAGAACAATAGGATAAGGACAGAAGCATAAGAATAGAAAGATCAGGACAATATATAGGGGTTCACAAAATTATAAGATTCCCCCTACAAGTTTGAGAATAATAAAGTTTTTACCAACTAAAGAAGCTTTGATAAGGGATCTAATGCCATATATATAGACACCGCTAAAGCATCTATCATGTGCTATATTGATCTCTATTTGGTTAAGTATTAATAATATTTAGATTCAAGAAATGTTGAATTTCACTCGTTGCATAATTATAAGACCCCTCTCTCAGGAGTATAAAAGTATTGCCTTAATGTTCATTTTTTAAGTCAAAAAAAATCTTGTCAGTATCTATTCGAAAGAGGAGATAATTAGTTATCTAGTGAAAAAAATATAGACTTATATAAGCTATACTTTAACTTTTCTATGGTCGAAGAAACTAAAGGATGGAAAACCTATATCCCACAATAACCCTATTTTAGATCAAAAAAAAAAGGTTTCCACTTGTTTAATGTAATAAAACTAGATTTAAACTATACCATTAGATAGAGCATTAAAAGTTGTATAGTCGACATATTTATTGACAACAAACTTTGAAGATATTAATAATTGTGAAAAGGTAAAATAAAGGTAGTCAAGATAAGATATTTTGTAAGAAACTTATGAAAAAAAAAAATTTATTTTCATTTAAAAAAACCAGACGTATTTCTTTTTTAAGGGTACCATAAGAAAGAGCGTCAAATTCTACACCAACTAGACTACTTCGTTTTACGGAAGCTTATCTCTAAACGCCCGGGAACTTAGTCTCAAAAAGGAGACAAATCAGTCTCATTATGCCAAAAAATAACATATGCTAGTGATATCACGAAAGAACATGTTTCAACAATTTTTGAAGTAAAATACTGAGAAAAAGAATCTTATATTGTTAAAAATTTTTTTCCCCAGCATTTTACTTCAAAAATTGTTGAAACATGTTCTTTCGTGATATCACTAGCGTATGTTATTTTTTGGCATAATGAGACTGATTTGTCTCCTTTTTGAGACTAAGTTCCCGGGCGTTTAGAGATAAGCTTCCGTAAAACGAAGTAGTCTAGTTGGTGTAGAATTTGACGCTCTTTCTTATGGTACCCTTAAAAAAAATACGTCTGGTTTTTATATGAAAATAAATTTTTTTTTTTTCATAAGTTTCTTACAAAATATCTTATCTTGACTACCTTTATTTTACCTTTTCACAATTATTAATATCTTCAAAGTTTGTTGTCAATAAATATGTCGACTATACAACTTTTAATGCTCTATCTAATGGTATAGTTTAAATCTAGTTTTATTACATTAAACAAGTGGAAACCTTTTTTTTTTATCTAAAATAGGGTTATTGTGGGATATAGGTTTTCCACTCTTTAGTTTCTTCGACCATAGAAAAGTTAAAGTATAGCTTATATAAGTCTATATTTTTTTCACTAGATAACTAATTATCTCCTCTTTCGAATAGATACTGACAAGATTTTTTTTGACTTAAAAAAATGAACATTAAGGCAATACTTTTATACTCCTGAGAGAGGGGTCTTTTAATTATGCAACGAGTGAAATTCAACATTTCTTGAATCTAAATATTATTAATATTTAACCAAATAGAGATCAATATAGCACATGATAGATGCTTTAGCGGTGTCTATATATATGGCATTAGATCCCTTATCAAATCTTCTTTAGTTGGTGAAAACTTTATTATTCTCAAACTTATAGGGGGGTCTTATAATTTTGGAAACCCCTGTATAATATACGAGTGAGTGATATGAGAAGGTTAAGTATCATGTATGAAATTCAATCAGCCGGGATCGTTACAATATTCACATCTTTTGTGTGAGTTAATATTAAAATGTCATTCCCAATGAACGTATTCATGTAAAAAAATGGGTAAATATTTGAACTATTCATGTTAGAAAATATATTGAAAAGAACAAAAAGTATATTTATGACTAACGTTGACATAGTTTTATCTCAACTATTAAAACAAGAAGAATATTTCATTATTCTTCATTCTACATTTTTTCACATCAAAAAAGTTGACAGTTAAAGCTTAATGCACGCTGTAAAGTAATCAGAGATCTATAAAGTCCCTAGTTATACCTATGCACATGAGTTTTATTTTTCCCACAACCCAATGAAAAATATTTGTAAAAAATAACGGTTGAGAATGCGTTCCAAAAAATTGAAAGCCCTTTTTTTTAAGAAAAGAAAACGTTCCGAAAAAAATGGGAAGCATTCCAAAATGGAACGGTCTAGAACGCATTGTATCACTTTTGGAACGCTTTCCACCACTTTTGGAATGCTTTCTCTTCTTGAGAGAAGATAACTTTCTTGATCATACGGCTAATCATTAATGGATAAATCTTTAATTCGTCAAAAGACCATTTCCGGGGTAACTCGACGAGCTCGATCTAATGGCATGCTCCAAATCGTTGTAACTCAAACCGTTATTAAAATCAGAAGTAGCATCCCCAAAGAATAACTAGCTGAAGGTTTCACCATTTCTCACATCAGTTTCAACATGCTTTCCTTCAGATCTTTGCTTTTTGAACCGAAATTTGCTTGAATTCCAAAAGAAAGTATTCATCACTTAGAAGAATTCATTCTTTAATGCTTCTCTAGAAAACGTAAAAGAAAGCGATCTTATTTCGATGGATTGCTATCTGTGCCGTTCCGAAAGAGAATGAATTAGGATGGATTCCATTAGTTTAAGAATGGTTCGGAATGCTTTCCCTTCAAATAGAGAACAATTTCTCAATAGAAAAGAAAGCATTCCGTCTTATTGTGGAACGGCAAAGAACGAGTTCCTTCAGACTGAGACTGTTTGTTCTTGAACATGAACGCATTCACTAGCAAAAGGAACGCCTTCGTTACATAGAAAAAAAGGTTTCCATATTTTTATGAAACCATTCTGTTCCGTTTTTTTTCAAAATACTTTTCACTCGGAAGTGTTTAACATGCCTCAGAGGTTTATCCTTAACTTATAATAATACATCGGCGAAATATTTAAAAACTAACAGTACATTGTAGCCAAGGTCACTATACTAATCACAATACATTTATATAAACAGTTTTCACATTATACGTATGATTCGAATAATTTCTGTATCAAATTATTTTTAACTATAACGTCGTTTTCACAGTTTCAAATCAAATAATGTTATTAATATCACCTTCCTTTTATACTTATTTTTTAGTCATCTACATTACGAACACGTTCGCGATAAAACAAAAACAGATAAGTTTGTCACAACAGCCTTCTATAACGAGACTAGAAGAATGACTGGAATTGAATCTTTTGCTCAAAATTGTTTCTTTTTCAATATGACGTTTAGTCCTCAAAATTTCAAAGACGTTTTGAAGAGGAGAAAATTTTGAACAAAAGATTTAACTCAAGTTATTCTTCTTATCTTGTTATGACAAACTATTGCGAAAAACTTCTTTTTTTTTGGTTACGACCATGATCGTCATGAAGATCTCTAGTAGTTATTGATGAAATTCAAGAAACTTCTGTTATAGATAAGTCTTGATGAATAAAGTTGACAAATCATGAAAGTTTCCATTGTATTTGAAAATAGCCTATATAGAACGTTGTCATCATATCTAAAGAAATCTTCAGTGCAGTCAATATATGTTGTAAAAGTTTTATTATTCACTCATAAGAAATAAGATAATATAAAAATTCATTTAAATAGTTATTTCAGAAATATATTAATGAATAGAATATTCAAATATGTTTTATATATATATTTCTTCTGGGAAAAAATAAAAATATAATTGTTAATATGTTATTTATAACGATTAACATGTTTTCCCAAACGTTTTATCACATAAACATATATAATCATTGTATTTTATTTATTATGAAAGACAAGAAAGTGAATAAAAAGTTTTTTTTTTATTGGAAATACCTAGAATTTTTAGGGTAGATAGATCTCGATTAGTAGAGCAAAACTTGTCTTTGACTCCAAATTCCCAAATACTTCCGTTTAGGAAATATCTCGGTCTCAACAGCTAAAAGTTGCAACACTTTCTCAGTCACAATACAATTCAATAGAGCTGGAATTTCTTTCTCTTACAGATATTAGACACTTTTGTGTGCCTAGTTTTTTTGGTTTCTTTTCATCTTGTTTTACTAGAATAAAAAAATCAAAAGACAGAGTGTACCTCCAAAAATATACGCTTCTTTTTGTAAAATCAACCAAAAAAAAACAATGCAATATTTTTCGAAAGAAAAAGCCTACACATTCCAAGCAGATCCTAATACCGATAAAAAAGTTTCAATTCAATTAAACATACTTTTTCGAGAAACAACAGTCATTTCTGTACTTTTTTTGTGTAAAAATTGATTTCGAGAAAAACAAAAGCAAATTTTCCTGTATATATCATGACTTTTTTTCTCCAACAAAAGTGTTCAACAACTGAACGTGCTAAAAGCCCATGATCAAGGGGGGAAAAGCAAGACTCTCGTACTTCGGAGTACAGATGGAGCACAGTTGGAGTACAGCTGGAGTCCACCTGGAGTACGAGGAGTACGTACTCACTAGACTTCAGCTAGACTCGACTATACTCCACCCGTACTCCAACTGTACTACATCTGTACTCCACCTATACTCCACTGTACTCCAACTTTGGAGTCTCGCTTTTCTCCCCTTGCCCATGATACATGTCCTCAATATCCTTAGAAATTATCATTAGAATAATTTTCAGAGAAAATGTCGAGGCTACATCAAAAATTTAGAAAAATTGTAATTTTAACGCCCAGAAAAATGAGAGGAATCCTATTCAGGTGAATTAAATTCTTTCTATAGTTGTAAAGTTTATTTCAATATTTTAGAAACAATATTTTCATGTCTCGATATTTAATTCGTTTATTGAAAAAATTTTTATGCTTATTAAACTATATTATTAAACAATCAATTTATATTTTATTCATACTAAAAAACTGGAATTATAAATCGATTATACTATATTTCACTTTAGTTATTTTTTCTATTATAATACTTGTTTATAATCAATCGAATAGTAATATAATATCGAACTTACTATCAAAAACTTCGATAGTTGAAAATGAACTTATTCAAGTGAGTATAAGAAAACTTCGTATTTTGTTTTTTGTGTTAAATTAATAAATTTATATATTATTGTAGTGTCGTTTTCCTCAGTTATCATTGAATAATAAGGGTTTAGATTTTACTATTTCAAAAGCTCTTCAACCAATATGTCGATCATGGTTTTATCCAATTGAGATAGATAATTATAAGATACGACTTATTCTACCATATCTTAATTGTACTGCTATTTTTTATATCGGTGAAGGTGATAAAGAATATGAAAAAGTTCCAATAAAATTATTGTACAATGTGAATATTTTACTTTTAAGTGACTATTTTACTGTGCAATGTGAAGATAAGACAAAAAACAAAGTGTATCCTAATTTACCTTATGCATCTATACATTATAGTCCAAATATTCGAAAAAGACTTGAAAATATAAAAATAACTGAAGATGATTTTAATGTATTGATCTTAGGTCTTGATAGTGTATCCAGATTACAATTTGAACGAATGTTACCACAAACATTTGATTATGTAACTAAAGAATTGGACGGTATTGTTCTTAAAGGTTTGTTGATATATTTAAGTATGATGTCAAACAAAAACAATCTTATGAAATAATGGTTTCATGAGTTACGATTGACTATATGTTGAAAGTTTGTCGAATAGCGAAGACTTTCTGATCAGAGAACCCGTCGGACTAATAATATTCGTTTGAGCTCATATTTCGCTCATAAGTAAGAGTCATAATGTCGATAAAAATTTTCGAAGAGGTCGTGCCATCAATTTTTCCTTCTAGAATTATGATCATTTAACTGAACTTGCAGCTAATTTACACGATATCACAAGAAAAACCATAATAAGGAAATTCGATCCAAAATTCTCTTCAACAATAACTCTTAGAACCCTTATGATATTCTGAAAGATTCAGCTTCAGGTGATGTTTTCTTTTTCAGATAACACATTTGCAGAAAATGTTACTTTCACATAAGAGCTCTAAAAATTGTCCAGTTTTTAGAAATATGATGCCTAAAGAAGAAATCATCCGTTTGAATTGAAATTTTCAAGATATCATACGGACCATGAGAATTATTGTTGGAGAGAGTTGCCAACCCAAACTTCTTGTTGCAATTTTTCTCTTGACATCCTACAATAGACTAAAAGTTGAGTGAAATGACCATTATTCGAGAAAAAAGGCCTCATGACACGAATCCTTTGAGAATTTTTATCTACACTATAATTCTAATCTATGAGCTCAAATTAAGTTTATCAGTCCGATGACTTCTGTCGTAAGATATTGTAAATTAACTTTTCTTCAATTTTCAATAATTCGAAATGAAGCGTTTCGTTTGAGCTGGAATTGGTAGGATATTATAAAGATCATGAGGCCCATTGATGAATAAAATTTCATTTTATTGTGATAGCGACTGGAATAGTAGCAAAGTATTGACAATAGTGGGGAAAATGCATGAGTATTAGAAATCCAAAAGGTCCGTTTTTCATGGGCCTAATCTACTCATAAGAAACGATGCTTTATTTTACATTTTATACAAATACTATGATGATAATTGAATAGATGCATCAGACTGTTTTTGTAAGAAGGCAAGGAAATCACGGATGCAGAAATAACATAACGGCATCAAATATTTATTGATTTAATACAATATGTATCTATTGAAAATAGAGCAAAAAGAAAACATTAACATTCAGAACAAAAACTCTTCTTTTGCATAAGAACATTCCGAATGAATTAAATGAAGGTAGCAATTGAATAGGGATTATAAAATTGTGTCATATTACGACAAAATAAATGTTAATCGAAGAGCAGTAAGAATCAGTCAATGATTTATATAAGATGATTATAGTAAGCGACTAAATAATGCCAGAGTAATGTAGTAAAACAGATAAATAAACTAAATAAATAAATGAACAATATAGTCACAATTAGAGATATGCAGGATCAAAAGTCGAAGATTCACACTGACCGGACTTAGACCACAACAAAAAAAACCGCTGTCCTACCTAGAGCACAACATTATAGTTGACTATTCTATCGTGGTCAAGTGAGTTATCGTATTAATCATACCAATTAGAATATAATTCAACCGAGTTTATCCAAAAAAAGTGTTACTCTTAGTTTCGCATATCTCTAGTCACAATCTATTATGAACCATGATTGTGTCACAGTCAAAATTATATAAAAAAATTTCTTGTTTTTCATCTGCAAAAATATTTCATTCTATATTTTGATACCAACATGTTCTGTTCAAAAAAGTAAATAGATTCGACAATTACAGTATCTATCTTCTTCAGGCAAGTGGATAAGTTCGATAGGCTATTTGAACTTCTGATAATCATGAATCTATTCTTATACCATCAAACAATATTTCCATTGATAATATAAAAATTATGATTTGCGAGAGAGATGAGATAGTTTTAGAGCGTAGAATAATTACTGTTTAGTATAAGAATCACAAATTCTTTTCATCGTACAAATCTAATAAAGTTTCACTTATAAAATGATACACTTAGATGTAGTTTTTAAAAATTCTATATATTAAAATGTTCTCATAATTCGAACAACTTTCGATGTTTAGTTATAGACTTTGATTACTGATCTTGATTAGACAGGTATAACTTAGAACATTACTGTATATATCAAATAAAATTAATCAATATTTGATATATGTGATGACAAACATAAAGTACAATTTTCATATCCTATTCATTCTGCTTTTCTAAATAAAAACTCACAATCCAATAGTTACATATTCACACTATGAATTTCTAAATCGCATATCAAAATAAATTTTGTTTAATTTACTAGCTTGCCGTTCCATTTTTTTTTTCCTAGTACTGATTTCAATGATCATTGATAATGTTTTAACTAAGTTTTTTTTAACCCCCATAAATAAAATATTAATCTATTGATTCATAAGTAAAATTAAATTTTTTTTTTTAATAAGGTTACAATATACTGGGTGATGGTACACCACAACAATTAATTCCGATGTTAACAGGTTTCAAAGAAACTGAATTACCTTCAACACTTTATCGTGATCCTAATGGTTCATTTGTTGATATATATCCATTTATTTGGAATAAATATCATCAACAAGGTTATGTAACAGGTTATGCTGAAGATCGTGTTGAATATGGTACATGGACATTACGTTTAAAAGGTTTTGAAAATACACCAACAGATCATTATTTATTACCATTTTATCGAATGAAATCAACAAAATCATTATTATATAGACATGATGCACATTGTATACGTAATCAAACATCATTTGACGTATTTCTTTCATATATTGAACAATTTTGGTTATCATATTCTGAGAATAAGAAATTTTTTTTTGGGTTTTTCAAACAATATACACATGATGGTTATACAGCTGGTTCAACGCTTGATTTATCATTATTAAAATTTTTAAAAAACTTTAACCAAACAGATGATTATAGAAAAACTATAATTATTCTTATGACTGATCATGGTGCACGTTTTTCAATTGCTCGACAAACACCACAAGGTAAACTTGAAGAACGTTTACCATTTATGAGTTTTATTTTTCCAAAATTATTTCAAAAAAAATATTCAAAAAAAATAAAAATTTTACAGAAAAATATTGATCGTTTAACAACACCATTTGATATTCATTCAACTTTATTATCATTAATTAATATGAATCAAATAGATTATACAGTTAAGAATTATACAAAACAACGTAATATATCTTTATTTCATTTAATACCAGCACAACGAACTTGTGATGATCTTAATCTCGAACCACATTGGTGTTCATGTTTACAATGGACAAATCTTAATATAAATGATACAAAAGTTAAACAAGCAACAAATCATATAATTAATTATATAAATAAACAATTATTATTAGTTAAGAATAATTTATGTTACCAACTTGAACTCTATTCAATTCATAATGTACAAATCTATCAACCTAATCAAGCTTTATTAACATTTTCAAGTTCTTCTGATATTGATGGTAGAATACCAAAATATAATGATAAAAATACTTATATAACATTTTATCAAATAACATTTGAAACACAACCAAATAAAGCAATATATGAAGCAACAACACAATATTCAAATAGATCAAATAATTTTAATACAGATCTTAATCATATTAGTCGTCTTAATTCATATAAATCATCAGCATCATGTATTGAAAAAAGTTATTCACATTTAAGAAAATTTTGTCATTGTATTGAATAAGATTTATTATATTGTATCTTTAGTTTTTATTTTAATTTCTATTAGTCAGATAAAAGAAAAAAAAATCTTAATATTTTATTATTAAAACTTAATTATATAAAAAGAAAAAAAAATATGAAAATAAAAATTTTTGTATTCATAAAACTCTGTGTAGATGAACTACCAGATGTTGTTGTAGATAGTGGTTGTGTTACACTACTACTTGTTCCTGGCGCTGTTGTTACACCATTAGTTGTTCTTGTTGATGTTGAACCTGTATTTGAAATAGTAGAAATTGTTTGAGTTGTTGTCGATACAGTTGGCCTAGGTGTTGTACTAGTAGTTTTATTATCAAGTAAACATGTAAGATCAGGATCGACAGTCACAGCATCTTTTAATTGTTTGAAAGTGGTAATATTATTACAATTATTATTCAAACAAACAGCTGCCATTTGATAGAGAAAAGAAGTTTTTGAACGAATATAATAGATAAGAGTCATATCAACGGAAGCTGGTTCTTTAGAAAGAATACAACCACTAGTAAAATGCCATCCACTTCCACATTGTGCTAAACTAGTTGTAGAATTTCGTGTGGCAACAAAATTACATGCATGAGCAGGACAAGGTACAAATGAACAGGTAGACATATCTGTACTAGTAACATCTGTATCGAGACATGTATCACATTGATAACAATTATTATCAAGTTCACCAGTAAGTAATCGATTGAGTGTTTCATTTGGTATACGTATATTTAATGCATTCGGTAAACGATTAACATCTTCTGGATTATTACAGCCACTAGATATACAATAAATGGAATTCATATTTTAAAAATTCTTAATTTACTTACGAAGTATCACATCCATATGTAATTGGTCCATATTCCCAATCCCAACCAACAGCTACAGATGGATTTAGATATACAGCTTCTTCTCCAAAAACAAAATGTGTTTCTGCTGCAGTTGAAATAATAGATTCGTCACTGATGTGTCCAGCACGAAGTGATCCAAAATCGCTAGGATCTAATGAAATATTGCGTGTAAGAAAACATGTACTATTCATTCGAAATGTTTGAGAACATGGTGGCAAACAAACGCTACTTGCTGGAAATGTTGATGTGCATTCGTAACATGAAAGAGCTGAAATCGAATGATTACAATAAAATAATAATAATACCATAATACAGTACAAATTCAACATATTGTATCCTCGAAACATGATTTTACAAAAACGAATGAAATAAATTGTGAATCAAAGACATTTTATTCTTATAGAATATCATAAAACCCAATGTAGACAAGCAATAAGTTAACTTGACTGTTATCAGTAACCTAGATGAATACTAATAAAACAATAATGTATCTAATTGAGAATAATACCAACACTTGAAAGTAACTTGATTTGCAGTGTAACAGTAATATAAATATATTTCAAGAGAGAAAAATCCTTTTTTGTTCTCTCTTTCTCTCTCTTTTAACTTTACTTTTTCATCGTTATCAAAATTGTTTTATTGAGAAACTGAGTCGTACAAGATGTTAAGATATATATAATTTTTTTTTCCATTTTCTTTTGTTTCTGCTGAGACTTTATTAGATACTTCAATTTGATGTTTAATAAAACTAGATTACCTCTAAAATACATCATATTGATATTTTTCTTTTTTTTTATTTTTATTGAAACATGTGGTACATATACATATACTAATAATTTACGGTAATGGACAAATGTTCCTGTCCTAGAGGTTCTCAACCATTATAGGTTCTAAAAGACTGAAAATTTGTGTTTGCACTTACTATTTGAAGAGTGTAGGTTAAAGACATAATTCTATTTCCATTGTTTATGTACAAAGAGGTTTACGATGGATGAAAATGAATAGCATCTATATCGCCTTTGAACTTCATAGTTACATAAAAGATGAGCTTTCTAAGTCAGCTAACAACTCATTATGTAGAATTGTATCTCAGCTATTCATACCAGAGATGGACAAAATCGCACCGCGCCTAGGCGCTACGCACATCTCTCTTTCTCTTTGCTCTATCAATCAGTTTCTCAAACTCCACCGAATACCGGGATGCTCTAAGCATGCGCTCATCGAAGCTCAGACTAGTGTAGCGTAGGCGTGAGCAACGGCACGGGGAAGCGCGGTGCGACTTTGTCCATCTCTGATTCATACAACTAACTTCATTTAAGTTCATCAACTCTCTCTCCACCACTGTGACCATTTTATTGTGACTGTTGATATGAAGAAAAATCAACATTTTTATAAAAGTATCTATGTGTAAAGTATTCAAGAAGTTAATTGGAATATTAGGAACTCGTTTGTTTCTTTGATGACATAAACATAAACAATCAAGAAAAAAAAAAGCAAAGAATTATAAGCAATCGCTAGTGACTATTATGTTTGACTGGAAGGAACTTAGAAGACGAGGCTTTTTTAGATGTTTATCTAAGTTATCTTGAATACAAAGATCAATGTGAGGGTGAGGACTAGAAGTTCATCATGACAAGTTTTTGCTTTTCAAGTAATTAGGAGTTCCTATCCTCTGTAATTGTTCTCGTCGACTTAGCTGAAAAAAGGTTGTGAAATTAGTGAATTTTTGTATTGAGAACTGAATATCATTAAATGTAGTACTGTGTCTAAGTTATAGTTCGATATAAATAATAATTAAGAAGACGTCAGAAGTTTGTAAGAATTGTACAGAAAATCTTTTTATAGTGTTTTTGATCTATCAATATTAAGATGAATATCTTTATTATTGACAAAATTATGATGGTTGCATTAAAAAAAAAAGTTCTTGGAACTTTCAACTTTTATTAAATTTACTAAAAAGTCAACGATTTCATTATCGTATTTTGATTCGAATTGATTTTCGATTTTTCTTTATTATATTCAGTGATATATCCTCATGTCCGATTTACCATATAAAGCCATTGAATTTTTTTGTTCTTTATTTGATCGAAAATTCGTCGTCTCAGTTAGACAACATTGCAAATGATCTATTTTTTCTCCGATGAATATTCTCTCCACATACAGGAACATAAATCACTAACAAACGCAAAAAATATCATAGAGAGAGCACATTATAAGCACGTTGAAGAATCAGGGGAGCGTTACGCCTCCTGTTGGCTATGTGCCTCTTTCCATAAATAATTCTTTTTAAAAAATAATAATTAAATTTTTCGTTAATATCTACATTATTTAATATATTATCAATGCCATAATTTCAAGTAAATAGTTTATTTAACGTAATGAAAGTGTTTTTGTTTTTTGAACAAATGAAACATTGTAATCGGTATCTTGAGTATATTAATCATCCGACCCCAAACAGAACAAATATTCATAAAGACATGGAAAACTAGTTTTGTCTTCTTCCAATTAGACATTAATAGAAGAATTTTCGTTTTTATTTTATTTTTAATGTTTAATATTGTTTAAAAATATTATTTTTCTTAGAAATTTTTCCAAATTCATGAATTTATTTTTATTGAAAATATCATATATAGATGTCACTTGTAAATCTTTCTTTTTCTTTTCAAATAAATCAATAAAAACGTAGATAAAAATAAATAAATAATAACTAACCATAATACACAAACGAAAAAAAAATTTTAGCTAATCATACTAGTGAAAATCAATCATTTTGCATTCCGAAGAAAAACAAAGCAAGTAATGTTACAGCACTGTATGAAGACACAAAAACAGTGTATTCCAATATATAGATGCAAACAGAACAAACAGAACTCTATTAGATTTTTTCCGTTTTTCTTTTTATAGATTATGACGGGCTTTTCCAAAGTAGCCGTCTATCGACAAGATCTACCACCACGAGGTGGTTATGCTCCGATCCCTTGGGCAAGAGTACCCTCACGTCGTATTCCTCTATGGCCATTTGTGTCAGTTTGGTTAGCATCAAATATATTTGGATATTTTTATCATACATCAGAAAAACGTGAATATTGGCGAAGTGGTAAATAAATAATTCTTGTTTATTAAATAAAAAGAAGAAAAAAAATTAATTTTTTGCCTCTAGAAATGGAAATGGATGAAAGTCGTTCATGTATTGAACCAGTATTATTAGCTGAACAAGATCGTATTGTTTTAAGACAATATCGTGCTAATCGTGATGAAGAAAAAAAATTAATGAATGATGTACCAGGTTGGGAAGTCGGTACATGGTTTGGTGAAAAAGTATTTAAATCTCGTACATTTTTTCCTGATCGACCGCATGTACTCGATTATTATGCACTTGCTCGTCCATCAACACAACGTTTAGATGTAAATGCAAGTCAGTGGCAAATTTAAAAAAGAAAAACTGAAACTTTCTTATTTTACGATATTGTCCTTTAGTTTATTTGTTTCTTTTTCTCCTTGTAGAATATATATTGAAACGTTTAAAGTCTTTTTTTTAGATTGAAAATATAAATCTAGATAGTCGTGTGTGTGCGGGCACATAAGTCACGACATAAACATATTATCAAATGGCATTACATATTATTTGATTTTTTTTTTATTTGAAAAGGAAAACATTTTTTTTTTGCTTGTTTGTTTTGTGTGTTATTGTTCTTTTTAAAAGAATGCAATCATCGACTAATAATCATTATTTACCTGACGAATTTAACGATAATTTTTTTTATAATGATAATCATGAAAATAAACATTTATTTTTGCAATCACAACCAATTATAAATGATCAACAAGAAGAGGAAGAAGATGAATATTATTTACGTGGACCAATAAATGGTAATAATAATGATGTTAAAAAATTTATTCAATATAATTTACATGTTTTAATTTTTATTTTTAGGTATGGAAACTGGTTTAGCTGGATTAGAAATAAAAGGCAAAGTACGGACATTAAGTCCGGTTCTATTCTATCAAACAAATACTCGATATTTAATTATGAGTAATAATGAATTAAAATATTTACCAGCAGGTAAATCGAACAAAAACAAAAATTTCTTATATCAATGACTATAATTTGAAAAAAAATAAAGGAAATTTTATTGTAAGAATGAGTATTCTTTTCAATATGTCTTAAAAACAAGACATAATCTACTTTAATTGAAAACAAAACAACAAAGGATGACATGAAAGTGAAGGTAAAGGTGAAGATAATTTCTTCTTTCATACACTATTAGTTTCAAAATTTTGATCTTTTGACATTTTCTCTTTTCGATCAAAGTTGGACGAGTCAAAAGTGTCATTATAAGATAATAAATGATTTCCTTTCGAAAATTAGTATAAAAATAAACAATTGAATAAGGATATTCTACATTAAATTGTGAAATACTGAAGAGAAGAAAAAAACTTGTCAATCTCAATATTGCATTAATAACAGATTCTACGAACACTCACGAGAATAGATGTAGAGTATATAGAGGAGAAAAACTTAATGATACTTATGAAAATGAGCTAAGATCAAGTGTATTATCTACTAAATAAATTTGTTCAATATCGTGAACAACAACTCATCGAATAATAATGAAATATCTTTTATTAAAGCTAAACAAGTTACAACAAGTCTACGATGAACACTTGATTCGGACTCATTCTCACAAGTGTTGTTAACTTTTTCTCTTGTAATTACTCTACGTTTTTCTTAACGTAATTGATTTCCGACAGTATTGTTTTCACAAAATTGTTAGAATCTGATCCTAATACAATTTTGAATTCACGAGTTTCTTTTCTATTGAATTTGATTAGTAGTTTTTGTTCTGACAGTAGTGTTTTTATTTCATGAAATTCAATTTCTCATCAATCTGTCGTATACAAAAGGACCAAATATCCTCAATAATAGTATTAATATAAATTCTAAATGGTAAATACTAAGATGTAATGTAAGAAGAAACAATTAATATGTAAAAGTGTATTTTTAGAATAAGATACTTTTTTTGTATATAGTAAAAAGATGAAGAAATAATTTATTCCATATATATATATAAGATGATATAAGATTCATATTGATATTGTTTCTACTTATATACTATTGTAGTAATATATATTTATCTATCAAGTTTCTATTTATCTTGAAGATATTAAGACACACATGACGCTGTCTTTTTTCTAGTTATTCATCGGTATTATTAACTTTCCTCATTCCTTAATGCAATAACATAAGAATTTTTGACACATCAAGGAAGTTGTAAGTTGTAGATGATCGACCATATTCTCTTTTGTCCTGTAGTTCATGTATGTGTTTTTCTTTTCTATTTTTTTAATTGTTATTTACTTAGCTGAATATAATACTATTCTTTTTAGTCTGTGAATCTATAATGAAGAAACGCTTTTTTTTTCACTCATTATATAAAATATTTAGTTGCTATATAGCTTAGTCATTTAATCTTGGGATTGAAGTACCTGTAAAAAGATATCTCTAACAATATTTTATTCAGTGATTTATAGTAGTTTGATTAGATATTGAATTTGATGAAAAACAACAATGTTGTCAGATGAAGTTTATAAATGAAGACGTACAATCTACCAAAATCCTCAGAGCTTGTAGAACTCTAATGAAAGATGAAACCCTTCTGACAAATTCATATACTCAAACTTTATTTTGTAGTAAATTTGCGTAAATGACTAACGTATAACTTGAATCTGGATATTTTGAATGATTCTTTAAAAGTATTCAATAAGGCATTTTTCATTAAAAACGAAATGATTACATGTCATCATTATTTTCATAGTTTAAACTCAAAATAGCATACGATTTTGTTATTGTTAAATGAATGGATTTGGTCTTAGTCGAATACATATTTTTCTAAAAAAATATAACTTTTTTCTGGTTCGATGATCAATCTATATTTCTATGATGACTTTTTAGTTTGAAATTCAGAATATAAATTAGAGATGGGATCAATCATCGGTATCAGTTCCATGTCTAACCTAAATATTCCATATTAGCACAATCAATTGCATGTAGTCATATAATTTTCAAAGAAAAGGTGATTCGTAAGCTAAGAGTATGATTTAGAAATATTTCTTTTTTTTTCGAGAATTATTCATTGAACTTATTTATATGATAATTTATATTTTAGAAATTGGAAATTTAATCAATCTTGTCTATCTTGATCTGTCACACAATCGATTAAAAACATTACCATCTCAAATTGGTTTGTTATATTCATTATTCTCTATAATTGAGAATTTTTTTTGTGTACTAAACATACTCTTTTTCTTTTGATATTTTTCTTCAA